CCCCAAAACCCCAAAACCCCAAAACCCCAAAACCCCACTTTGCCAGCTTTAAATTGGAATAATATTTAAATTACTTGAGTTGTAAATGGAAGGTGTAGGTTACCCAACTTATCACTTAATGCTTCAGTAAAATATTGAGAACTTTACAAAACACTTAAAGTGCTACAACCCTTAGATCTTTCAATCAAGCTAATTTAGTGCCCTTCTTGAAGATCGTCAGATAAATATAGCACCATTAAAATTCCTGATTTTAAACTTATAAGAGTTCGCTAAGTTCTAATATCCTTATTAAAGTCTCTTCATAAAATTCCTTTGGCCTAACATCTCAGCTATATCAACTAGTGACCTAATATAGCAAGAAGAAGAGAAAAGAATAGACTTTAACGATTATGAGAGCATTACCGAGTCTGAGAGTGATCAAGATGAGGACTCAGTATTCAAAGGCCACTTTGAAGTGGTCAAAAATAGTATGTATGAGTTTTAATAGCCATAGTCTCCATACCAGAAGATAAAGATATGAGAGAGATAATCCAAAAATAGCCCAATGGCAACTAAGATTTTAAAAAGTGAATATGACCCCTCCGAAGAAGCTAAAGTTGACTCTAAATCTGAGGAAATTAAGGATGGCAATTCAGATCAAATAAATCAACTTGATGATGATTATCATATTTTTGAGCAAAAAGAAGAAGAGAAAGAAGCTAAGCAAAAATCTGGAGAAAGTGGCAAAAATTCAGGGTCTCAGAATAGGTTTGATAGGCCATCAAATGAGCAATCACTTCCTTTAGAAAATGAAAATTTTAATTCAAAAATCGAAAATAATGATGAAATAGATAGCTTTGTTGATCAAAGTGAAGATAATAAATCTTTAGATAATTCTCACCCTAATACAGTCAAAGAAAGCACCAAGAAATCTCATATTTCAAACTCAATTGTACAAGAAGACAAAAGCCTCAATGAAACTATTGAGTCTGAAAAGATTATTGAACACGTTTCAGATGATAGCATAATTGAAGACAAGCAAAAACTTGACACTTCGGAAAGCCCAGAAGAAATAACAAAGATGCCACTTCATAGAGATGAAAATACTCCCACAGATTTTTATGGAAATGAAAAAGATAACAGAATCTCGGAAAGAAGTGAAATTGAAGAGATCCAAAGTGATCTACAAGCTAAACACACAGAAGATCACCAACAGAAAATGGAAAATCTAGAAACTTGAGAAGTAAATGAAGATTCCTCAGATAACCAATCAAGTTCAGGTTCAGACACACTCGAGTTAAACAGTGATAAGGAAGAGCCAGATTATTTCAAAGCAGCTTTGAAATGCCAAGAAAATAAGAAGACTAATTATTTGATAAAACTTGAGGTACAAAACAAAAAGGTTAAAAAGAACCAAATGAAACTTGCAGGGAATTCAAAGAAAAGATCTGATTCCCAAAAGAGAATAATTGAAACTGATCCTGATCATACTGTAGTTTCAAATCCTAAAATTCCCGGAAATCCAAATACAAAACTAAAAAGATTCGATAGATCGAAGAGGCATAGCTACCATTCCCAGACAAGGATCCAGAACAAATTCAAGAAAAGATTTTTCAAGAATAAGAAGATAATTGTAGATAAGAATCATGCTAAAAATAAAAATCGAATAATGATATCAACTAATTCAGGAAGGTACCAACCTAGAAAAGTTAACTCATACGCCACCAAGCCTGCTCCTCAGAGGAGGAAAAACTTAAAGAGTGCTCATCCAGGCCAAAGAGACCACCACGGAGTAGCTTCAGTGATAAATTGTTTAGGAATACCCATACAAATTTAGAAAACCACAAGATGAACATACCATCGAGCCACAAACAGATAAAAACATTAGGTATAGCCGCATGCTTAGTTATAAATAGCGAGCCAAATGTGTTCTGGAATAATGATAACAGAGCGAACTTCAAGAAGTCAATCTTGAAAAGAGCTCCAAGTGGAGAGATTAGGAATAACCGAAAGAGAAACCTGAATATCAAGACTAGGAAGATCACTTCTTCGAATGACCCAGGTACCCTTTGAGCTCATTTTTTAGATTCTTATCATAAGATAACTGAAAATGAAGTCAAGAATATCAAGATAGTTGATTACCTTACCAATGAGAAGAAGTTAAATGAAGAGAAAAGCTCTATGTTTGGGAAGTATGACACAAACTCTATGATTTCAATCAAGCAAGATTGAGACTCTGAAGCTGTACACTTGGCAAATTCAGTGTTCAATGAAGGAAGTGAACTAAAATAAAGGGCTTATTGATGTTTCAAAAGTTTATGATTATGTTAACAATCAAGAAGTTGAATCTAATTTATCTCAGCAATACTCTTTCAAACCAAATATGAATAAAAGTGAAAATAATCCATACACTAGAGATTCTATAGATTTAATTCCCTCTAACCAGGTCGCTAGAAGAGATAGCCAAGGAAAGAAGTGGAGTAGAATTTTGGAATATATGAGAAAGAACCCTAAAGTCTTAATGAAAGCTATCCCATCGCCTCGAGCTGAAGAGAAAATTAAGGAAGCTCTTTCGCCTCCAAAATATATATCGCTAAATGAAAGGATAAAGAAGGTTGGAAAATCAGGAATCCCTCCTATTGAAAATAAAAGAAACATATTTAAGAATATCAGCCATTCAGAGAAAGAGAAGAGCTGAACGAGTAGTCAATACAGCAAGTTCACTAGTAAAAGTATGAAAAGAAGAGGAAACCCTAATAAAACAAACATGATGGTGATAAAGCCAGTCCCATTCACAGATGGATCTGGGCTTAAGAAATATAAACTTCAAGGTATCCTTTCTTATAATTTGTAGAAAAATCAATCGAGAAACAAAACAGAAAGCTAGGAAATCCATTTAGAAGAATGACATCTGAAGAAAAATAAGGAGGAAACAATTTATGCTAGCATTTGGGATGATGAAAAACCTGTTGAACTAAGCAAAAGGCTTGACTTTTATGAGCAAAATAAAGACAAATCAGATATAACTTCTCATCCACCCGAGAGTGCTCTTGAAATGACGAAAAATAACACTGACCTTCAAGAGAAAAATCTTAGAGAAAAGACAAAGACATTGTTTAATATCGCTAAGAACATAATTCCTCCAAAACTGGTTGATTGGAAACACAGCACTTTATACACTCAGCATAAAGACAATTGATTAACGAACTATGGTCATGACGAACATGATAAGATATATAAAACAACTGATATAAAATACATAATTGACATGGTAAACAGACAGAAAAAGGATGTTGCAGATGCTAAAATTATAGCTCCTATTCATAAGAAAGGCCTTATGACTCTTAACCAACTTATGGCTGACTTAGATATGGAGTTTTCATTTAAAAAGATAGCCTCTAAATATAGAGAAATTACAATAGAAAATACTCTCAGGATTCTTATCAGATGAAAAATGTATTTTTCAGCCAGAGATGAAATCTTGAAAATGTTTCAAGAGATAGACCAAAGAGAAAACTGACTTGATAACATTCGTAATGTGGTCCTTGGCATGCAGGAAGACAAAGAAATTGAAAATAGAAAAATAAAGATTCAAGAATTAGCTCAATATCTCATGAAACTCACTCATGCCCTTTCAGATGACATGGGTAAATTTGTTAAAAGTTTCAAGCAGTTTGGAAAAACATTTGTGTTTGACCAAATGGTAAGGCTCAAGTTCATCTTCTTTAGGACTATTCAAAAGTAATAAAAAAGGAGAAAGAAGAAATGAATGATATACTCTCAATCTTCGACATTCAACTGAAGAAGCTGAAATAATGGTTAAATCCTAATCAACAAAATTAAATGAAAAGGGGTTTTGGGGTTTTGGGGTTTTGGGGTTTTGGGG